TCCCTACAGCTGGCCCTATGGAGCAAGGCGTGTACGGGGCCATCCCGTCTCCCGCAGCGCTGAGAGCAGGTGCCAGGGAAGCGGATGAACGGCTGGGCACAGAGCGGTACTTTCCAGCCACCCTCACAGCCTCCGGTATCGCCGTACTGCTTGTCGCAGCTGTTGACACTCTGACCGTTTTGGTTTTAGCAGGACCCGGGTGTCGGAGTGAAAGATGCAGCAGCAGCAAGAAGTGTGTCTAGCACAAGCGCTGGAGAAGAGGCAGAGGAAAGGTTTAAAGCGGTTATACGAGTCGTTGCCCTAAATCTGCCTTGCACCTGCTGCCAGGACAGCAGGACTTGTAGGCAGTAGTGCAAGGACCTTTCCCTTGTGCCGAGGGAGAGCTGCAGCGATCCTCCCACTGGGCTGATGGTTTTACCTTATCCAGAGCTTCGCCACCTCCCACAGCCCCTGTTCCCCTTGTGCCTTCTCTGCCCTTCCTCCTCGCCCCCAGTAGTGGTACCCCGGATGCACCGAAGGCATCGGCACAGCACCCCGGGGAGGCTCAACGGGACACCGCTGACCTTGGCCTGGACCAACCTCCCTTTCCCACCAGCGACCAGCGGCCCTGGGACACTGGGCACGACCCTCAGGAGAGGAGAGGGAACGAAACAGCATCTCTCTGGGATCTGGACTGGCCGGGGACCGAGGAGCCAGCTTGGCCCAAGGGGAGGTGCACCCCCTGCCTGCTGTGGGTCTGCGCGTCCCCCCTGGCACTGCAAATCCAGCCTCAGGCAGGGGCTGCGTGCACGTCCCCGCGGTGCTCCCAGCTGCGCTGTGCTGGGGATGGAGCCAGCCGTGACTCAGCAGGCGCCCTCTGGGCTGCCATGCTGCGAGCCCGTGCTGCGGGGAGCCGGGCCTGGTGGGCTCGGGGATGCTCCCAGCCAGCCCCAGGCTGAGCGCCAGCCACCCTTCGTGTGGGGACCATAGGGTGGTTGTAGCACCCAAGCACCAGCCCAAGGTTTTGGGGTGCTGCAAGCTATCCAGGCAGCACGGGAAGCTCCTCTGCTGACAGCCACATCCCACTGGCTCCCTGCAAAGCCAGGCTGTAGGGATTTGAAATCCCCCCCTTGCTCTCTTGCACAAGGCCACTGCGCCAGCAAGTGTGCTGCCCATGGCAGGTCTGCTCCGCTCTCCGTGGCCACAAATGCCACCTGCAAGCACAGCCCTGCTCAGCAGCGAAGGGTTAAGCGCCAGGCGAGCCATCAGGGAAGCTTTCCTCTCCTCCTTTTCCTTGCCAAGGTTTAAATTTAGTCCCTGCATGAACCCAGACGACTTGGGAATCGGGTTGCTCCAGGGCTGGCAGAGCCAGAGAGCACCTGCTACCGGTGCTTCACTGCAAAAATCCCCCTGAAAGCTGGGGCTGAGCTCTGCCGGCAGCAGTCAGGGCCGGCAAGCTGCAGAGACCCTCCTGCAGGGCCGGGCGCCCTGGCCGCTTGCTTTGGGTCCCCCTGAAAAAGGAAAATAGTAGCTGTCACTCGTTTGGCTCTTGTGAGTCCCAGAGGTGCTCGGTGCCTGGTTTGATTTCAAGCCTTGAGTTTGCTCCTGGCCACTTGCGATTCATTTTGGGGGAGCCCCCAGGATGGGGACACGACATCCGTGCAGCAAGGTGGGCAGAAGCGCCGGGAAAGGAGCCATGGCGGGGATGGAGCAGCAGCCCGGGGGCTGGTCATGCCCTCTGTGCCGGGGATGGGACATCCCCGGAGGGATCCGCGGGTCCCCCAGCCCCAGGGCAGCCTAGCCCGCTGCGCTGGGGGTCACAGCCTGGGTACCCCCCTGGGGCATGGGGACACCCTGGCACCTCTCCTGTGGGTTTGGGGAGCAGCAGCATGGGGTGAGGGGCCAGGGATGGTGCTGGCAGCCCCCCGGCAGACCCCTAAAGCCAGGGGCGGCGGTGGCATCCCTGCAATGCGCTTGGCATTGCCTCCCCCGGGCTGGCGCTCGCTGACGTCCATGTGATCGAGGGGCTGCTCCGTCCTGCCGCTGGGTCCAGCCGCTGTGACAGTGAGGGAGCCAGAAGGTCGAGCCAGCGTCCCCGGCGGAGCGTCCCCGGCACCAAGGAGGGTCCCCTGGCACCGGCTGGCACTCCCCGGGGTCATTCCTGCCATAATGCCACGCGGGAAGAGAGACCCCATCCTGCTCTCCCACACCGAGCTGTCCGGCACCAGCGGTGAGGGTCCCCGCAGCAGTGGGGACGGCCGGCGGTCCGCATCGGAGGAGGAGGGCCAACTCCCCGGCCTCCCCCGCGACGACCTCGCCAAGAGCATGTCGGGCTCCTCCGTCTCCTCCTACCACTCCGCCCTGTGCTCAGAGGGGACGGAGACCTTCAAGGACTGCCTGGAGTTTCTGGACGAGGAGGGGACACCGTCCCGGGACGCGGGGCGGCGGGGCGGCTGTGCCGAGGCGGCTGCCCC